AAGCTGGTGTGTTCCCAACCCAGGGACAGCCTAAGGGGCAGGCGGGAAAAACAAAGGCACCCACCTTCTTAGCTCTGCAATGAGCAGCACAGTGCAAGGAACCCCGAGGGTCATCAGAGAGATGTTGTTGATGGCGGGCTTGACAAACGCCAGGCATGTCGTGACGGCAGAAAGGACGCAGACCACCGCCTTGAACCTGCCCCTGAATCAATGAAAGCAAACCGAACTGTTAGCCAAGGAGCTCTTGTTTGTTTGGTGAATGCCGGCAAAGTACAGGAACTGCAGACGAGTGTGCGAGCTGAGGAGTTGTGCATCGAGTACCCGGAGTCTCAAACCCACTCACGCTCACGGGCTCAGGAATTCTACTTCTAGCAATTTATGCTTAGGCAATAACCAGAAATTTGACAAACATTTAGCCAGGAGAATGGTAAAATGAGAATCCATCTCAGTCCCCGAGGGTCAGATATGGATAACTTTTCTTAGTGTTACTTTTTTCTATACTTTTTTCAGATGTTTTACAGCAGGGTCTAGCAAACTTTTTCTGTAAAGGGTGAGAGTGCAAATGCTTTGGGTTTTGCAGGTCCTAGGACCTCCGCAGCTCCCTAAGTCTGCCCCTGTAGACAAGCGGTAAGGGAATGGGCGTGGCTGTACACCAATAAAACTTGATTTGCAAAAACAGGCAGTGGACCCATCTGGCTCACAGGACCCAGCTTGCCAACCCCTGTTCTACAAGGTGAGCGTGGAAGACTTTTATAAGAAAAACAGGGACCATTTACAAACCACAAAGCTCCTTAGCTTAAAAGAAAAAATCTGGGGTGCCTGGGTGGCTCAGTCAGTTAAGTGGCTGCCTTTGGCTCAGGTCATGATCCCAGGGTCCTGGGATAGAGTCCCACTTCTTGCTCGCTGCTCAGCAGGGAGCCTGCTTCTCCTTCTCCCTCTACCTGCCACCTCCCTTGCTTGTGCTCTCTCTGTCAAATAAAATCTTAAAAAAAAAAAAATCTGTGTCTAGCACATACAGCTAAAAGTCCTAAGAATAAATTCTAAGACTGTCTATTTACCAGCAACTCACAGACTAGCGTGCATTGGAATTTTGTGTTGACAAGTTTTTGACATGACCCATCTTAGAAAAATACCATCCTCAGGGCACCTGGGTGGCTCCAGTCAGTTAAGCAGCCAACTCTTGATTTCAGCTCAGGTCAGGATCTCAGGGTCATGAGATGGAGCCCCACATCAGGCTCCGTGCTCAGTAGGGAGCCTGCTTGTCCCCTCTCCCTCCTCCTCTGCCCTTCCCCCCACTCGTGCCATGCAAACATGCGCGCGCTCTCGCCTTCTCTCTCTCTCTCTCAAATAAATAAAATCTGTAGAAAAAAGAAACAAGAAAAATACCATCCTCACACACTTCAGTGGATGTACTTTCAGGAGAAAGAGTCAGAAGTGGCGACGTGATCCTGGACATGCTCCTTCTTCTCTCCCTGGGACTCCATTTCCTTATCTATAAAGTGAAAAGGCTGGACTAGATGATCCCCAAGGCCTCATCCATGACTGAAATTTAGGAGCACATGATTTTCCTGAAGTTTCTTTTATCCCTCATTAGCACAATTTACCTTGGCCAAAATCCCCGGAACAGGTCACAGTTGGGAAACTCATCTGAATGAAATTCCATTATAGAGAAATCAAAGTACACTGAAATCTCCAAAATACAAATTTCTCTCTTAAAGAGGAAAACCATTTATCATCAAGGTGCAGGAAATCATTGATCGAGCTGCCAACTTTCTGACTGGAATGAACAGGAAGTGTAGCCCTGAGCTTCAACCAGAGAAAAAATACGTATGCGGGAAAGGGTCCAGGCAGCAAATCCTCAGGAGAACTGTTTTCCTCCTGGCCTTGGCTGGCAACCCTTGCCACTGGAGGAAAGCCTGCCTGCTCCAGCCCGAGGTGGACGGCCCGCAGCTCCCCTCTCCCCTCTCCCACCCCCATCATGCAAATGGCCCTTGGGGACCCACAATAACTCCTTTACTGGGTTTTGAGGTGCTATGACCTGTACCAAGGCTTTTCAGCCTTTTTAGATTGGATGAACAGTTAAAAAAAAAAAAAGAAAAGAAAACTTGCAAATTGCATTACTTCTCTAGATCAATGGTTCGGGAGTTAGTGAGGGCAAGAGTGTTGTAAGCACAGGTCTTCCAGGTGACAGATGTGTGCTCACTTGCTGCTTCCATCACTCAGTAGCTGTGGGACCTTTTGTCAAGTCCCGAAACCCTCCAAGCCTCACGTTTCCCATATGAAAATGAAGACCCCCTACCCCATGGTGTTCCTATAAGCATTAAAGCACTTAACATGGTGCCTGGTACATGGTTCTGTGCTAATAAAAATCCACTATTACTGTTATCATTCCCTTTGTGTGAGAATAAGTGCTATTTTAAATAATGTTATTGTGTGGGGCGCCTGGGTGGCTCAGTTGGTTAAGCGACTGCCTTTGGCTCAGGTCATGATCCTGGAGTCCCAGGATCGAGTCCCGCATCGGGCTCCCTGCTCGGCGGGGAGCCTGCTTCTCCTTCTAACCCTCCCCCCTCTCATGTACTCTCTCTCTCTCTCTCATTCTCGCTCTCTCAAATAAATAAATCTTTAAAAAAAAATAATAAAGTTATTGTGAATAATAGCTGCTCTCAGGGAAAACCTGACGGGGCTGGTGTGGCAATCCCCAAAGGCTCCGGAGGGCATTACCAAACAGTTCAAAGGCAGCAAGCCTGAAGAAACTCGCTTTAAGGAGAACAGAGGCAGACGCCGCCCATGTCGGTCCAGAGGGTGTGGAGGAATGCGCTTCAGGAAGGTGGCTGAGCAGACAAAACCTCAGCCCGAAGAAGTCCACACAAGTCACAGAGCCAGACCGGCCGACCCCAGGGTCACCAGAGGTCCTGGGGACAAGAGAGCTGGCCATGTCCAGGAGCGCAGGGTTCTGACAGAGTGTTGTCTTATCCATGACACCAGGCAACCCCTGGTCTCTGGTCGTGTTCTCCACCTCCCAGCCCATTATGGGCTCAAACTGGAACACGAGGTCAGGGAACCCCGATCACCCCGTCCTCCTCAATTCCCCCTAATCAAAACAGCCCAACACCATCAACATAACGTAACAAAGCTGCTACTGCTGTTACCATTAGCCACCCATTAGAGCAGAGGTTTGAACCCTGCCAGACCCTGTGCTCCTTTTCTATAGCAAATACCTGGTAACGCCCCCTTTACTCTTCCGAAGTGAGATGGCTTTTATGGATGATAAAACCTCCTTCATGATAACCATCAAAAACCTGTCCACAAACTTCCCTCAAGGGACACCCTGGTTAGGATCCACTGCTTTAAACCACCCTTTAGGACTAAAACATAACCTATGTAGAACAACTAGCCCATGATAGTCACAGGATTACAGCATCTGGTCCCGGAAGGTCCACCCATGTCCTTTTCTAAGTAAGGAACTGATAAGGCCCAGAGAGTCTAAGGCCCTGGCTCCCAGTCATCCAGCTAGAGCAGGATGGCCAGACCCCAGCCTGGTAACTCAGGATTCAAAACCTGAATTGGATTATAAAGTGAGGGCAAAATCATAAAAATCACAGCAGGATAAATCTTTAAGAAATGGAAATAATTAGTCCATCATAGTTCTTTGTTCTTGGGGGTTTTTTTTCTCAAAACAAAAATGTCTAGAAATTATTAATAACCATCAACAACTGAGTGTATGATGATTCTTAGGACATTCTAGGCAAGATAAAAAAAATGCTTTTTTTTTTTGACTTGCCAATTATTCCTATTTATACGGTAAAATTTAATAATTTCCCTGCTGTTCTAGACATTCTTCAAAACACTTATCCATATTAGCCATTCTTAACAACTGCTAGCCCTTACTGAGTCCTTACTCTGCACAAGACACTGTACACCTTCTAGGATTTCCCCCTATATTTCCAACCCCATAAGGTACCCTTAATATCTGCAGTTTACAGATGAGCTAAATGAGGTACCAGAGCTTTTAAAAAAAACAAACCCTATCACTCAAAGCCATGTCCGTCTGATACACTTAGCCACCACGCTCTGTTGCCCCTCCTCCAGAAATCTCACACTGGAACTACTTTAATGTGTTTTTAGAAATATTCCAGCAAAGTCTAGATCACAAAAAGATGTTAACTTGGATAGGTAAACCACATGATCCCTGGTCTAGAGAAATCCCTGTTTTGACATGAAGTTTTTGTTCTGGCTGCCACTTGGACTCAGAGCTGCACCTGTCCCCGTCCTGGGCAGTGAGGCCCACAAAAAGGGGTTTTGTCGTCTTGTGCTCCTTGTCACTGGCAAGTTGAAGGCGGACGAATAGAGTTGAAATCCTTATTTACAGTGTGCTACTTTCCCATAACATATGCCTTATCTTCATTCGCATCTCCCATTCCCATTCTCTCCTTCAGTGCGTGTGTGTGTGTGTGTGTGTGTGTGTGTGTGTGTGCGCGTGTCTCAGAAATGCCAGGCAGAAATCTCCATGTGTCATTGTCAGTACTGGAGGCGAACTCTGAGCACTCGCCATGTCTCTAATACTCCACAGTGTGCTGCAGGATCCTCTCAAGAGAGGATTATTTACCTAATTTGACAAATGACGAAACAGAAAATGAAAGAGTCAAGATGAGCCACACCGTTTGTAAGCAGGGAACCTAGGATTCAAACCCAGGGAGTCTCCAAAACCAGGGACATGGACATCTGTGGTGCTCAGGGCTCCAAAGGACTCTCTCCAAGCTGAAGACAGTGTGGTCACGTCTTCCCAGAGAAATGGTGCCGGCAATAAAAAAAGTCCCAAGTGGTCACCTCTCTGTCCCACAGTACAGTTTCATTATTAAAGTTGGTAAGCTTTATAACTACATCCATTGCCCCATTTTCTTTTCTCCTGCTCATAACATTCCCTCACCCCTCCTGTCAAGAAATCAAAAAGACAGGGGAGGCCTGTGTGGCTCAGTTTGTGGTTAAGCATCCAAATCTTGATCTCAGCTCAGGTCTGGATCTCGGGGTCATGAGTTCGAGCCCTGTGTTGGGCTCCACACTGGGTGCGGAGCCTATTTAAAAAAAAAAAAAGAAAGAAAGAAATGAAAAAGAAAAAGAAAAAGATTCTCTACTATGAACACACACAAAACTGTCGCTTGGAATTTCAAGTGGCACCTCCAGAGTGCCATGAACAAAACCATTCTTCTGTGTGAGGCTTCTCACTCAGCCCCCAGGACTTGAAAGATCAGATCCAAGAGCAAAGAGATTCCTCAGCTCTCCACCTACCACCCACCAGGCTCGGGCAGGGATGGAGGTGACTGGTGGCCACCCTCTGACTCGACAGGAAAGGCCAAAGGTAAACGATGTTTCTCAGCCAGAGCCCGAAAGCCCCTCCTGCGAAGGCCCTCCTGACCTGCCTGGCGCTGCCCCCCTTCTCCACCTCACGAGGCTTTCTAAGCACCCCCAGTCATTCTCCCGAAGCCGGACAAGCAAGCACAAGACTAGACACCAAATCGCCCCAGCCAACCTGCCACACGCTGAAGCCTCCTTCCTCCACTGAGAAGGCCACAGCCAACGGAGACTGTATTTCTCCTGAAGCCAGGAATGCCCTTCTTGTCACCTCTTGTCAACTGCTGGCTCTCTCACTCTCATTTTTTGGATAAGTAACCTTGAGAATCCTTTATCTGCCCGATGATAGTCAAAGAAAACACTTTAATTCAAATCCTGCTCTGTACAATGAAGATAGCACAGCTAGTTCATCTGAAGTATGTTTTCTCCCTACTTCATTGAAAAATGTGTTATTATTAAAAAGTAACATGTGCTCTTTGTTTAAAAAAAAAATGCACAACAGTATAAATTAAAGGTAAAAGTGAAAGTTCTCTCCCCCACTCCCTCCCCCATTCCTTTTTTTCAAGAATTTTTTTTTTCATATGCTCAGCAATCTTTATTCAGTTCTGGGGGGGGGATGCCTCCCTTCCCATGCTCCTGTCCCTCCTGCTCCCCCCACCCCAGGGCTCTGTGGGAGTCAGTGTCCTCCTCTGTTGAGAGTAGGTCCTGGGGCCCAGAGGCCTGGTCTGGAGAATATTCAGGACAGCTGGTCCCTTAGTGGGGATGCTGGTCTTCTCTGTTGTGGGGAAGAAGGAAGGTGGGCAGAACTACTGCCCATCAGCACTCAGAGCTCCATTATCTCCCCAGCTTGGGTTGCAGGGTAGTGGGGGGTGGGGGTGTCCCCTAGCCTCAGCAGCCGGAGGGCCTCAGGGATCAGGTTCCCAGGGTAGTGCGAGAGAAGCAGCTCAGAGCAAGGGCTCCTGAGTGGGGGCTGTGGTAAGAGTGGTCATTGTGCAGGCTGAGTGGAGAGAAGTGGGTGGCCACGTTCTCTTCAGAAAGGAACCGTTTTCGAAAGGGCTCCTGCTCTTCCTCCAGGCGCCGCTTGGTGCTCATGGGCACAGCTCCTCGGAGAGGGGAGCTCACGTCCTAGGCTCGGGGCGTCCCCGACGCGGCCCGTGGGTCACGCTGGGCCCAACCTGTGGGGCCTCGTTCCAGGGGCTGCTGCAGGATCATGTGGGTTCGGGGTCCTGCAGCTAAGAATTTTGTATTTATTCATTTGAGACAGAGAGATACAGAAAGAGAGTAGGAGCAGTGGGGAGAGCAGAGGCAGAGGCAGAAGCAGACTCCCTGCTGAGCAGGGAGCCCACGATGTGGGGCTCCATCCCAGGACCCGGAGATCATGACCTGAGCCAAAGGCAGACGCTTAACCCTCTGAGCCACCCAGGCGCCCCCCTTCCCCCTTCCTAAGAATAGCCAATGATAGTGGCTGTTTATCCTCCTCCTCTAGTTACTTCTATGTGCACACAAAGACCTAGACGCCAAAAGAGATTAGTTAATTCATTCTACAGTTATGCTATCCCACACACAGTTCTACCATGTGCTCTTTGCAGCCAGCATGCTTTATGGACACTTCCCCACCTCCATCCATAGAGAACAGCCTTTGTCTTTAAGAGCTCCAAAATTCCTATTCCTATTCACAGTACCAGGAACACTAGGAATTCTTTATTTTCCTAGTACAGCTCTTCCCTGGGTACCCACAGCTTGCTTGATTGAATCCATGTTTTTAGACTATTTATCCATATATATATATATATATATGGATCCATATAAAACACAGTGTCCTACAGAGAACTATGTGTGGGTCATATGTTCTAGGAGCATTTCTCATCTTTATGAGGTTGACTCTCTTCGGTTCCTTCAGATATTAACAAACCTCATACAGCTCCTCAGAAAGGCTTTCCCTGACCAAACTCCAAATGAGCACCCTATGTCACCTCTACCTCCTTTCCAGCTTCATTTTTTTATCAGAGCACTTATCCTAACATTGTATTGTTTGTTTGTTCACTGATTTGTAGCCTCCCCAACTTCAGTATGAGCTCACTGAAGGCAGAGGCTCTATTGTTTTGTTTAGTGCTATATCCCAGTGTCTGGAAAAAATGCATAGTAAGTGTTCAAAAAAATATTTACTGGATGAATAACCATATAAGCATCCCTTCCTGAAATTCTGGATTTCTAGCTTGGAGGGGGTGTGTGTGTGTGTGTGTAGATCTCAGCAGAGGTAAAACCAATACCATTTGACAATCATGGGATCTACAGCTACAAGAACCAATTCCTTAATGGAATTTTACTATAAACTTATCAAATGGTAGAACTGGATTGGACTCAAGGAAATGTTCTAGCAGAAAATCAAAGGTCTCTGAACTACCATTCAGTAATTTCTCCGCCACTGAAAATCTTTCCACTTTTGTTCATATCCTATAAGGGAGACATTTGACCATTTACCCCTAATATCCTATAAATTCTTTGCCAAGCATATTAAAATTCCCTCTTTCGTCAGTTTACGGTCTAAAAGAATAAACAACCCGTGGATATTAAACAAGTATCTGATAAGCTCATCATAAGGGGAGGCTCCATTGTGTGCTGTTTTCCTGATACATACATGGAGATGTTGGGTGCTGCACTCAGCAGTAAATACAAAACCGTTTAACACAAGCTTACCTGTCGTTCCGAAAGACCTTTGGTAGATACCTTCTGGGGAACCACATGGCCAGAGCACACATCAGAACCCAAAGGATTGCAAGTTCATCGAGCATCTGACCCAAGAAACTTAGGGTTGCATGGAAGTAGACGGATCCAATTCCTAGAATCAATTACAACCAATTAAAAAAAGGTCATCACAGAAGAACGGACCCACAAATCCAACACACTGCTGAAGGCCAGCCATTCGACCAACCACGGTCACAATCACCAGATCACACTCTCACTGAAAGAAGAAGCTGAAGGAAGAAACACACACCACCTAGACAGGCAGCCTTGAAGCCTAGAAAGAGGATTGCAAGCAGGGCCCCAAGATCAGCACATCAGAGCTTGAATAATGCCAGTTAAACACTCTGTCCTCCTCCAGGAGGCTTCGGGGGAAGAGGCTTTCAATAAAAGTCAACATTCTCTCACTGTTAAGAATTCCCAATCTGCCTGTGGAAGGAAATGGAAATTATACAAGCATTTCCCAGAACAATGAAGGATCAAACATCTAAACATTTTTTTTCTCGTTTTGATCCACTAGACTAAAGTCTCATCAGAGCTCAATCGCTTTTGTGTGATTTTCTTCAGAAGTCCTCAGAAAACAGCGCTGGCACGGCCCCAACAGCTGTTAGAGAAATAAGCCCTCACGTGCCATTAAGTGATCGCTGGCGTCACCCCGGGTGTCCAGCCCGTGTCCAGAGGCGTCCTCCTTCTGGCATCAAAGCAAAAATAAAAGTTCGCTAAGACGTCAGAGTGACTTTGGTTTACAAAACATCATGTTCAAATAGGACAGGAAGTGTGCAGAATTCCATTTCCTCCCTCTCAGCCCCTGCTCGAACACGAATCCACTTACCCACTACAACTAAGAGCGTCCATATTAGGTAGATCCCACTGTTGAAGCATGTTGCGTACTGGCGAAATAAACACATGCAGATGGGCGGTAAAACGAAAAATAAGACGTTGCTGATCTGGGGGGAGGGAGGGGGGTGGAAAATGAAAAGATGAATATTAAGGGGCAAAAAAATAAAGCAGCATGTTCCAAATATGAGCTTTGCAAACTGGGATGAATGTGGCCACACGTCTTGTTTAAGCTCTTACATCTCTTTTTTTTTTTTAACTGCAGATACAGGGAAATTTAAGCTGCCTTTATGGCCATTTGGGGGATTCTTCCCATCTCTCTGCAGCATTTTAATAGCTGCTCCCATGATCAGTCTATGAAAGCTGCCCAACCCCCTCTCTGGATTCCAAGAATCTTCTTCTTTTTCTGCACAAGACTAACTGTGAAGCATTTTGATCTACTTGCACATACATTTTTAAAGGTAAGGCCCGCACTAAGTAATGGTAAAAAAATAAAGCTTAATATGGAGGTGAGTACTAGACATCCCAGCTCCCCAAAATTTTCTGCTAGCAAGGCCAGCTTTTTTCTCCAGCGCCCACACAAAGGCAGGATGCTTCCAGGGTCTGCCTTTGTCAATTTCTTCCCCTAATCAAAGCTGTTTTTAGGTAAAGATCAAACTTTCAGATTTTAGTGTGGATTTAAGCCTGTTATCGGGCGGGGGAGGGGGGCAGTTGGCTTTTCAAAAAAATATATCTTCTCTAATATATTCAAATTACTGTCATTTCAACACCTAATCACTATTTAAATATCATTAACGAGGTATTTTCCATTCTGTTGTTCACATAAAGCTGAGTGAACTTCATACTTGACAGCCTGTCTCTATCTGAACCAGCCGTATTCCACATGCTTAACAACTACAGGTGCCTCGTGATGACCATACTGGCCCACGTTAACTCTGGAACCTCCCCTCTAGTTTTTGTTTTTATTTTTTTTTGTCTTTTTGTTTTTAGGAGGTCACAGCCAGCTCCCCTTTGTTTTCCCAAATTTTTTTAAATCAAGGGAAAATTCACATCACACAAAATGAACCATTTTAGAGTATACAATTCCATGTCATTAAATGCCCTCAGAATATGCAACCATCACCTCTGTCTAGTTTGTTTGTTTTTTTTAAAGATTTTATTTATTTATTTGACAGAGAGAGAGAGACACAGCGAGAGAGGGAACACAAGCAGGGGGAGCAGGAGAGGGAGAAGCAGGCTTCCCGCCGAGCAGGGAGCCCGATGCGGGGCTC